CTGCTGAGTAAAGGCAGAAAGCTCTCTAGCTCCTCCTCTGGTATGGAGGTCCAGAGCAGATTGAGTTTGACAGTGTTGCAGTGCTGTAGAGTCCAACACTCTGCCATTCAGGTTAATGTCGTTTCCTATTGAACTCATCAGACTGGACACATACTAAGGAAAATGAGTCTCATAAATCTCCATAATGATGGACAGAATAAAGCTGGGGCTCAACCTGTGGAGAATAAGATCACTCGATGAAATCCACTTGAATCAAAGGCACTCAATAAATACAAATTCTCAAACTGACAAGTAAACTACAAGCAACTTTAATGACTTAAATGGATGCAATTTAACCGTTTAGTCATGATGTCAATTTGTAGGTTGACCCAAAAAGACCAATTTGACATGGAAATTGGTAAAAGGAGAAGTGAACAAGTAAAAGTAAATCCTGTGTCTATGATATAAAACATAGTTTGACCTCAGTTCCAGTTGTTTCAGTTAACTATATAAGAACTACAACTACCACAATGATGGTAGCTTAATGTGCCTGACATATCAGAAAACTGTAGTTCTTGTTTGAAACGTGTTTTTAAAGTGCACAATGGTTTCAACAAACAAACTCACATTTAAGGAATGACTGTGTATACGAATGAGCACTTTGTCATTAGTAAGTGACAAGATTTTGCTTTGAGTCTTTTGTGATCAGTGAAAGCTCATCTGTGGTCAGTGGAAATGGACCCTTAAATGACCTCAGTGCTCTGACCATCTTCACTAACATTGTGTCTTCCAAACTGTCAAAAACAAAGATCATGAGAAACATTCACATCATATTTTAGGATGTGTCATTCTATCACAGACGTGATTTAAACAGTTTATAGAAAAGCTTGAGGTATCTCAGACCTCTGCAGGTGTTTGAAGATCAGTTTGAGTCCTCTGAGAGAAATGGCTTGTGGCTTTAGAGTCAGGTTTAGTTTTGAGGCTGAAAGACCCAGAACTCTCCCCACAGATCTGCAGGTGCTGCTGGGTAATTTT